AAACAATTAGTAATTATTATTTTTACACTGATTTTTTATATTAGAAGCTATCTCATGATCATATTATCATAATACAACTCTTACCAATCAACATGTACATTTCCTTTAACAGTTGTGACAAAAAGAAGGAATAAAGAAGTAAAGGTATATGACCAATCAAAGAATTATTAAAAAGATGAGTATTGTCATAAAGATATTATTTCGTCTTCTAATTCTTGTTTTCTCTCTTCGTTTAGAGCTCATCAAAATATTCTTTCCATCTTTTTAAGATTTCCAATTGCTCACTGAAAAAATGTATTACATTAAGGTGATGACGCCATCGGATCTAGCGGACAGAATTTGAAAAATATACGCTTAGAAAATGAATTATTTCTTATCAATTGCTGAAAGTAGAATAATAGTTTTTAGTGAAATGTCATTATTTTATTTCATCATCATCAATGGTACTACAGCCCTATGAAAGAGCCTCGACCTTCCCAAGTGTATTACGCCAGGCAGTCCTATCCATTGCCAACCGTTGCCAGTTTGCTGCGTCTATCTTTCTACCATCCTCATCTACACCATCCTTTTATCTGAGTTTTGGCCTACCCCTTTTTCTACTTCCCACGGGTTGTGACATAAGGATTCTTCTAGGAAGGTTGTTCTGCTGTGGTCTTGCTAGATGTCCTGCCCATCTTAGTCTTCCTATTCTTACAAGAGATACTACGTCTTTACCACCAAATATTTGTTTATATCTGTGGTATACCTCGTAGTTGTATCTCCTCCTCCAAACACCATTTTCACAGATGCCACCAAATATTCCTCTCAGGATCCTTCGTTCAAATATAAGCAGAAGGTCTTCTTCTGCCTTGGAGATGGTCCATGTCTCCGATCCATATGTCAACACTGGCTGTATAAGGGTTTTGTATACGGTTATTTTTGTTTTTTGGCTTAAGTTTCTACTTCTCATATGTCTACTCAGTCCAAAATAGCATCTGTTTGCCATTATTATCCTTCGCTTGATTTCTTCCGTTATGGCGTTCTCTTTGGTGATCAGGAAGCCTAAGTATGTGAATTTGTCCACCACTTCAAAGGTAGAGTTATCAACTGTGAATTGGGGACCGATGTTCCTGACTCTATTGTTGGGTGTTGATGCCATCATCTTAGTTTTCTCCTCATTTACTTGCAGGCCCATAGATTTTGAGGCATTTGAGAAGGTGGTATACACTTCTTCTAGCTTGCGTGTTGTGCGGGCAACTAGGTCCACATCATCTGCATATGCCAAAATTTGGGATGATTTATTAAAAATATTTCCTCTGTTGTCTATTGGGGCATCTCTGATCGCCTTTTCCAGTGCTATGTTGAAAAGGAGATACGCCAGCGCGTCTCCCTGTCGCAACCCAACATGCGTTTCAAACGCCTGTAATTGTTCGCCCTGTATTTCGACTTTGCAAACCACATTACGCATTGTAGCCTGAACCAATCTTATCAGTTTATCGGGGATGTGGAATTTATTCATGGCTTCATACAATTTATTTCTTAGGACACTATCATAGGCAGATTTGAAGTCTACAAAAAGATGGTATGTATCGATATTGAATTCATTGGTTTTTTTCCAGTATTTGCCTTAGCACAAAGATCTGATCTGTTATATGATCGACATTCCTATTGGCACTCTTTTTGTGTAGCGGACAAACGATTCCAATACACCACTCTTCCGGGATTTGTTCCTCATTCCAGGCTCTCAGTATTATTTTATATATTTGATTAGTCACAGTAGCACCTCCACATTTAATAAGTTCCGCGGGTATACCATCACTTCCTGGAGATTTATTGTATTTTGGGTGTTTTATTGCATCTCGTACTTCTTGAATTGACGGAGGCTCTAATGGTGAATTGTTGCTTGCTCCTGCGGATGGTTGATTTGGATCTGGATCTTTTACTTCTATAGTAAGTAGTTCTTTAAAGTGTTCCATCCACCTTTTTAGTACTTCTTCTTTTATATTTTGTATATGCCCCTCCTTATCCTTACATAGTCTGAGCCTTGGTTTGAATTCCTTTCTTGCATTATTCAGAGTTTTGTAGAATTTTCTTGTTTGGTTTTCCTTTTTTAATACCTCAAGTTCTTCCAATATTCTATTTTCGTGAGTTCGCTTTCTTCTATGAATGCACTTCTCTTCTTTTCTGAGATCTTTATATTTTTGCTGTTTTTCTCGGGTTCTTCTTTGCTGCATCAGTTTATATGCATCGTTCTTTCTTCTTGTAATGTCCTCACACTCATCATCAAACCACTCGTTACGTGGTGGTGGTCTTTCTGGCTCTAGAGTATTATTTGCTGCATTTTTAATATTATTTTTACACATTTCCCATTGTTCACTAATTGTTAGGTCCTCATGAATTATGTGTTTAGTTTCGATATAGTTTTGAAACCTTTCTACTGTTTGCGGATTTTTGAGGAGTTCAATATTGAGACGCGTTGTTTTGGTACTTCTCTCCTTCTTCGCATTTGAGATTCTAGCTCGAATTCGTGTGCCAACTAGGAAGTGATCTGAATCAATATTTGCGCCTCGATAGATGCGGACTTCCATTAGGTTTGAGAAGTGTCTAGCATCTATGATCACGTGATCAATTTGGTTATTCGTTAGTTCATCAGGTGAGGTCCAAGTGCACATATGTATTTTTTTGTGTAGAAAACATGTGCTTCCTATGATCATGTTCTTTGCGGCTGCGAAGGTGACTGCTCGGTATCCATTCGGAGTGCATGACACTCCTGTATAAATTCCTTTTTAATTAATATGATCTCTTTGTTAACATTTCGATTATCCCTAATAACGTAACTGAATATTTGAATAGGATTTATAAATTGTAGTTAATCCTCATTTTGACAATAGTGTTACTCGAAAAATTTAAATGAAGGAATGAAGATCCCAGTTTTATCATCCTCAATTAACTTAAATCGATCCTTGTTTGACCTACCAAAAAAATTATACTTCTAGGAATGTGGAATATTTACATTTTATCATAACAAAAAATTATGTTCTAAGAGGAACTACTTATAACCCCCTACCCGTTGGACTGACGATCTCAGCAAAATGTTAAGAAATTGGATGAAAAGTGCTCAAGATAGAGCACAATGGACAAAAATGAGAGAGGCCTATGTCTAGCAACGGACGCAAAGGGCTGGGTGAAAAGTATGACAGAACAACGCGTTGCAACGCTTAGAAAAATAGATTATAGGTATGGCTACTTCAGAAATAATTCAAAATATGTGCTTATATTCTTATTAATAATGTATTAATTGGCACTTATTATCAATCTTCAATAGTTTTGATAATCTACAATAATTTCTGAAAATTTAGAATATTTTTATTTCACAAGCATACGGATCATGCTAAGCAATTTCTAATCAACATAAATAATCAAATCAAGATAAAATAATAGCATATGGCAACACCGAACCAACCGGTAGGAAAATAAACAAACTATTATATCGGCGGCAGAGACCGCCCTCTATTTACACTTTAAAAAACGCGCCCTGACCTCATAATATCATGTAATTGACGCTTTGTTACCTTTTTTTATGGTCAATTATATTTTATTTTTCCCAAAGGTTGTAAAAGTAGTAAAAGTTGTAGGTTAGTTGCAAAATTTATAAGCATAAGAAACGAATATGTACCGTTCCACATGAATAACTTTAGGGAGGAAATAAAGATATCTTTTTTGCAATAAAAAATATTTGGGAAAAAAGGATATTCTTAAATAGATATTTATAATCATAATGATTTTGGCACCTCTTCAATCTTAAGGGGTCGATACTGGAAAATACCATAAGTATAAGTATATCAATCAATGGAAACAGCAGGGTAGTCAATTATATTAATTTTATTTCTATTTTTTAACAAGTATTTTTATTATACTAAATAAAGTAAATAAAATTAAGAACAATTCATTCCTAAGATTGAAAAACATTTTTTATTAATGTAATAAATATGTCATATTATTATTATACCTACTTAATCCTCAGATGTTTATAATTATTTAATTATGGTGATAATTATTTTATTAACATTTTTTTAAATTATTCTTACAGGCATCTCTCCTGAGTGAAATCAAACTTTATTTTATTGTAATGGTTTCGTAAAATATAATCGAGCTTAACAGCTCACATTTGGACTTTGCATCATAGATGTCACTCGCAAGCACAAATCCATCGAGCATTAAGACAAAAGAGGGAATGTAAAGGTAGAAGGGGTAAACATATTGATAGACAGGAAGTGCCATCTTGAGAGGCCACTTTAGACAAGGATAGACAGTCTCTTTCCTTGTTTAAGAAGTCAAATTTAGTTTGGTTATGTTATTGTTTGTCCCAACTGTCACATGAAATTTTATTTATATTGAAGTTTTTTAACAATTGTGTCACTTTTTAGACTATTATCGTTAATATTTAATTAAAACTTTCTAGTCTGAAAAATATTTTATAGCTATTGTTAACAAATGTTGGAAAATTTAAATTTAGCGCCTTTGCATTTCCGGATGTGTCCGCCATCAGAGGCCACTTTTTTGGTCTCCTTTTTATAACGATTAGATTCCCTCTTTTGTCTTATTGCTCGATGCACAAATCTAAACACAGTTTATTAAATTTTTAAGGTTCCACCCACTTTTATTTATTTAATAATTAATTAAGTACTCGCTAAATAAAGACCATCTAACAAATAAAGGTTCCTATTATATACTTCGTCAGTTCATTTCCTTTTTTTTAGTAAAAAGAGCGTTTGAAACTAATCATTTTCGCACCGTTTCCATAGCAACAAAAGCGAATTATTAATAATAATAATAATTGGTTAATTCATTAATGGCATATCGCCAAATATGAAACGAGGTAAGTGAACCGAGTTACTGACGTAACGATTTATATTTTTATTATTATTTTCAACGTGGTCTTCTTATTGATTAGTATGCGCCCTGCGGATTAGATACGTAATAATCCGAATGAATCAATTGCAGTTTCCTCTGTTACCGGTAATGGCCGTCGTGCACTTCGGCTGCGTAAAATAATCAATAAACAGCAGTTCCAGTGAGTTATTAATACATTACTGTAAAAATGGAGTTATACCTTAAGGCCAATGTGATTATTTCAAAAAAATCTTACAAGTAGAAGGGCTGTTGATTAGTTAAAACAAGTGAAGATTTCCACCTGTCAAAACTCGCAAGACCATTTCGTATCCTTGGTGACTGCCTAGCAACCGACACAACAACATAGCAACATTGGGTAAATGTTAAAATTGATTTAATTTTTATTTATTTGCACTATTTTTTAGATGTTGATACACGTAGTAAGCTTTTATACAAGAATCCTGTTCAATGTACTATTTATTTTTTCTGTCCATGTGTACTGGTAAATTAAATCCATTTATGCAAATGGCTCCTAGGATTGTCAATAAAGGATTTACAAAGAAAAGCTAATAAATGATTAAATTACACTTCATTTTGCATGGTTGCTTAGACAGAGGTGTTAATATATAAATCTTGTGCATATTATATAACATTTATTACAGTGTTTTTATCTTCTCATTTGAAACATACAAAATTTAGCCAGTATTTCTTTATAGGTATCCATACGATTCTTGGGTTGATTTGAAATAAAAATAATTTACAAAATTAAAATATACGTAATTTTTTAGCAACAAGCTCTTACTATAATATTGCAACCAAGAAATTATTAATTAAAAAAGGTGTATCTATGTAAGGACAAAGCACAGACAACCTAATTTGTTTTTTGTTTATTCCTGCAATTCTCAGACAATACCCAAGTCCCTAGTTTTAGTGTAAAGTTTATTTATAGTTTTATTTAATCAAAAATAGTATTTTTACAGAAATTACATTATCATCTAAAGATTGGTTCTATTTCTTTGTGTGATATCTGATGTAGTTCTAATTTACACAGTGTAATATTTTCTGAATTCATGTCTATTTGGACACCAAAGAACAAACATAATGTTAAAAGTGTTGCTTTTCACACTAGTTTTTTATTTTTTAAAATTTAATTCTGTCATTCTTATACTAATTTTCAATACTGTTTTCTTCTGTTTTTCTTTTTTAACCCTCTCATGCATAATTTTAGGGAAACATTTTTTTTTTCTTAGAAAAATTATTTTATTGCAAAATATTGAAAATTAACATTAGAAAATAGTATATTAAGTGAAAAAACATAAAATTTTTTTCTTAAACCCTAAAATATAGTCCGTCCACTCTAGTGGTCACTATGCACTTGCAGAATCGCGGAAGCCTCAGTTACTGGTATGAAAATATTCAAAACACGATGGACACAGCGGCTCATTGCACCTTTTGCAGATGTATTTTGTTTTTCTTTTGCAAGCTTTAGAGTGACATCTTCAAGCATTTGGTATATCAATTAGTTGTGGCCAGTGCCCCAATTACTTTGTCTAATTTCAGGGGGTGCATGATGATTCAGTTTCTTCTTCTTCAAAATGGGAAGTGGTGTACCAGACGAAGGTCTACCTCGTTTATTTTCTTTCTGTGTTCCCAAATTTATTAATGCTCTGGCAATACTTGCTTTAAATTCAAGCAGATCTTTTTTTGTATTTCCGTTTTTCTTGTACAGAATCCATGCATTTACAACAAGAACATCCACAAAATGCATAAAACTCTTATGTACCAGCGTTTGTTTCTTCTCCTTAGAGGATACAGGGCCAACAACTGGTCCATCAGGTCTACTCCTCCCATATTTTTGTTATAAAACTAAACAGAAAATGGTCTGTTCACTTCTATAGTAGTCTTAGTAGATTTACACCAGCGTTTTGTTTTATTCTTAGGTTCTATTCCAGCATAATTGGAAACAATTTAAATAGTCTTGTTGTCTAGCCATTTAGATACAATTATATTGCCACCTTCAGTACTTGCAACAGATGAAGTTCCCCTACCCTCTTGTTTCATTTGTTTATCTGTTTTCATAACAGAATTACAATTTTGTAGTCGATTCAATCGGAGAGTTCCTGTTGCCCATATACCTCTTTTATGCAGTTCTTCGATAAGGGGAAGTGAGCAAAATAAATTATCAAAAAATACTTTATGATTTATTCTCTTCAAGTCGTCAGTTAGACGCAAAACTACATCAGCGCACGCTCCAAGTTTACTAATTTGACTTCTGTCTCCTGAGGCTCCTTGGTAAACCTCAAAACGATACATATATCCACTAATTCCAGCTCTTACCCAAACTTTGACTCCTCACTTTTTAGGTTTTTTTGGTAAGTATTGCTTTATACCTAATTTTTCTTTTAGTGGAATAATTTGCTCATTAACTTATTGGTATTCCTCTGGATCTGTGGCACCTAAGAAGTTTTTCTGAATTTTATCCAAAAATGGTCGGATTTTCGCAATTTGTCCGTGTTATTTTGATTTACATTATCATTATTTACGAAATGTAAAAACCTCAAAATAGATTCAAATCTATTAACAGGCATAGTATCTGCAATAAGGTCCATTCTCAGGCCATTATCACTTGACCAGTAAAGCCGTATTCTGGGATACCTGGTGTATGCCATCACTAAATTTATGCCCAAGAAAGCATATAACTCATATTTTGTAAAACCAAAATTTAATTTATTGTTTTGGCCAGCATATAAATTGGTCTGAAAGACGATATCATCCATTATGTCTGCGGTGAACAGTGATAAAAAATAATCAATTGGATTGTTTCCTTGAACATGAATATTTTCTGTTCCTCTAAATTGTGGCAAAGTTGCTGGCCCATACATGCTGTCATTATTGCACCATTTCCAGTCTTTTTTCTCAGCCTTTTTTGATTTTTTCTCTTGACTTTTATGTTTTGATGAAAATGCCAAAATACGCTGAGCAATTGGAATGTCATCTTCACTCATATCATCGTCACTGTTTTCTGGCTGTATTTCTTCTAAGTCACTTTCATCAATTTGGTCTTCAGTCGTTACATGTTCGAGCAAATACGTCTCTTCGTCATTGTAATCAGATTCCAAATCTGAACCTTCTGGTAAATCATAAATAATGTCATCATTATCAATACCTATAAATTCTTCATTTTCTGGTAAACATAAAGGTATTTCGTCCCTATTGTCGTCTTCATCGGCAAAAAGTACTTTCTGAAATAGAATAAAATTTCCCATTGAAGAAGTATTATTATGTCAATAAATAAAATTTATTTATTTGTACCAAAATAATATAGGTAAGTACATAAAAAAATGCCCTCGAAAATCCCTAAATCAATAATAAATCTTTGACAAGAAAAGCAAAAAATATGTGAACAAGAAAGCTACTACCCCTCTAAAAATTATACTCATAAAACATACCACAAGAGTGAAATTCTAAGTTACATATTGCATGACGTCCAGTCTAGTGGACATGACTTCAAGGCGATATTTTCGGTGAGTTTTCAATTATTTTGAAATTATAACAAGGGCAAATTGTGTAAAATACATAATTCTATAAGAAAAATATTTTCTTACCTTTTTGTTTGCTTTTCCATAAAAACTACGGGCACTTATTTCAGGCCATTCACAGGTGGTCTAACATAAACAAACTTTGAATTTCAAAATATATATTGTAGATGGCGGTAGTAGTTACTTGATTAGAGTCCACTGAAAGGGATTTCATGCATTTTGCATAAGTTTCAGAGAATTAAAATATATTTTTTGGAGTTAAAAGAATCTGTCCAATGCAGTGGACTCAATGCGTGAGAGGGTTAACACTGCTTTCTCTATAAAGTTCTTGTTCCACAAGGTCTTCTATTGTATGTTATTTCTAGTGAGGCTTCTTTATACATTCTTCTTTGTTTAATCTCTATTCATATTGCTTACAGAACAAAACTTTTCATCCTAAGTATCTGATTTACTGTTATTATTTCCAACTGCCTTCTGCTTTTATAATTGATTTACACAACTTGGGAATTTTTTTACAGTCATGTAGGAAACAAAATGTACAACACAAAAATTGCCACCCTCCACTATTATTAACTCAAGTAAACTTACTGTTAGAGACTTGAACTTGAAAAAAAGGGAGTAAATAGTACTAATTTCAAAAATAATCATTTAAACCTATGTTTTTTTAGATGCAGTTTTATTTTATTTATGTGAATAGTTTTGTTTTCTTGTGAATAATTTTTTATCTTAGTTACAATTTTAATATTGATTATGAGCATGTTTGACCAGGGAAATAAGATTTCTTCGTGACACTGAACCAACGAGGCAAACAATTGTTTTGAGTAGTATGAACCTCTGTAACAAGAACCTATATGTTTCCTGCAGTTGATTTTTGGACTTAATTAGTTATTAACAAATTAATGTCAAAAAACAGTAATTGTTTTCATCTATCAGCAAAAAGGGAAGCATTTGAAACAAATTTAATTGTTGCATCGAAATTTCGGTTTTTATTAATGTAATATTTTTAAAAATAAACTTAGAACCTTTATATTATACTGAATGTTGAGTCTTGTGTTCTTTGAAAATTTAAAAGAGATTAGTCCAATAGTTCAAAATTATTTAATTTGTTTATCCCAAATTTTTTTAGAACGATATAAGTAAAAAAACGATGAAGTAAAAGTAATTCTAAAATAGCTTATGAAAGAAGATTTATTCTATTAATATTATTAAAAAAAAAAAAAATAGGAAAACGATTTTAAATATTGTAAAATTATTTTGCAAAAAGTTGTCGATTTTTTTACTTATAAAGAATTAGAATATATTATTTTTTCATATTTGGAATGCTTTTATTTTTTACATGTTCTAAAAAAGAAAAAGTTGTCTTAGAACAGTTTGGGCACAGAATAAGAAACAATTGTTTATTATTCTGTGGTTTGGGAGAAGTTTTTAAATTGACAGCATTTTTATTTACAATCATTACGATATCTAATTAGCGATATTTGAAACAACATTCTTTAAAGTTTTAATGTGACAAATTTGAAAGGGATTACCTTTCAACGGAATCGTCCACAATGCTTCAAAATGTGGTCCTCAAAATCGGCCTTTATTTATGAATTTCCTGCCTGGTTTATGAATTTCCACAATATTTTTTTAATTTGTATGTACTTTTGCGTCCATTACCAATATGTATTATTTAAATAAATAAATTGTTAAATAAACAACCTAATTTGTTTAAAACAATTTTTTTTTCAGTTTTTTGTTTTTTTTTTAGTAGGTGAGGTGAAGTGGGGTAAATGTGATCTAATTTTTTATTAGTTCAACTTTCATTTAATATAACACTTTAAGGAAACGTTTCAAA